TTGAGGCTGTGAAGTGTCTATGCTGTCAATTTAAATTTGTCGATTTACTTACATGTTTTTGGTCTGTGGCAGGAAACCGGAGAGCCCGGTGAAAACCCACGCAAACACGAGGAGAACATGCAAACTCCGCACTGAAACGCGACCTGGCCAGGAAGTGTCCGAGCCGGTGGCATGCTTGCTGTGCGGCCGTGGTGCTAACCACTAGGCCTCCGTGCTGCCCTGACAAGGAAAGGGAAGGAGTAGTGGTGGTTCTTCAAGACGAAGATGGCTGAAGTAAGATGCTCTGGTTATTTATAGTGGTTAAGGAGTCGTCTGATTGGTAAATCAGTGTTAGCTAATGTGGGCCAGGTGCTGTCAATCATAAGCGCGTGCTCCTCTCGAAACTTCAAACTTTAAACTTCACATAGTGAGACGCGATGATCCAGCGCTACATCCTTCATAAACTCTCTGACGTGCACTGCTCTCTGCCTGGAGCTCAGATGAGCGCATGACAGCATGTGGCTGTGTGTGTGTGGCTGAGGGCTGTTCAGAAATGCTAGGTAAAACACGTTGTGGATCGTTTTCACTCTAAAATGGCATTTTAATACTAAGATGTACTAGTGTAGACGGGGCCTGAGTGTGTATTTTTCGCGAGCGGGTTTGTGACGGGGGCGGGGCGATGGATCGTGTTGTCTATTGGCCATCGGCGATGAATGATGGCATCGTCTATTGGACCAAGCCTAATTACAGTAGAGCGCTAAACAGCAATGTACAGCGAGCTGACAGGGAAGATGATGAGGTCACTCACTACATTGGTCGCTGGTTCGAACCTCGGCTCAGTTGGCGTTTCTGTGTGGAGTTTGCATGTTCTCCCTGCATTCTCGTGGGTTTCCTCCGGGTCTAATTGGGTAGGCTAAATTGTCAGAATGTACTTGTCAGGTTGGGCCATGTCGGGTCTTACTTTTAGGGCCCGATTACAGCCCTAATCCAAATGTCGTGTGCAGAGGAAAGGCGGCTTTACTACACACAGCATACCTAAAAGTGGACTGTACCATACCACACAGTGAAAATGGGCCAAACAAAGATTATAGTAAATAACGTGATCATTTTTAAAGGAATTATTAGAAAAATATTAATAAGTTTGCCCTCTACTGTATATTAAATTGCCTGAGGCTGAATTAAATGCAGTTATCTTTGGTTGAGCTGCCCCTTTAAGAGCGAAGCAAGCAAACTAACCGTGCATCAGCAGAACATTTTGATTTATTTATTTATTATTTTTTTTGTCAGGCAGATTAATGAGATTGGACAGCAAAGATGGCTGATACGGCTTTACGTCGAGTAATCCAAAAAAAAAAAAAAAGCCTGTCTCATATTTCCCCCGAGGGCACCTGCGCAGTTCTGCAGTCTTATTGAACTCATTAGTTAGAGACACATCAGCAGGAATAAAGCCATAATCCTGCTCCATACGCACATAAATAAGTGTACATCCTATGATTTGCGTCAACCCCCAGAGAGCTGCTCTATTTATTTGATTAAATGTGGTCTATTTTTGCTAAATGTTTCACTGTTTTGGTGTCGTTTGTGGAGAGCGTTTCGCTAAGTGCTGCATTTATGAGCTTAATTAATCCTAATATGCTAAAATTACCTCTGGAAAGGTGTTGTTTGTTCCTGAGGCTGTGCTAAGAAGTGAACAAAGGCAATTCTTATAGTGTTTTTAGTGCCACACACTGCATAAAATATAGTCAGAAAAATCTAAATATCTTCCAGGCGCAACCCAATACTGGGAAACACCCATACACGCTCATTTACACACACTCACTTACACACTACAGCCAATTTACAACAAAACACACCCTAAGTAACGTATTTCAGATTCACAAATATGTAGACAGCGCCCTCTAGTGGATTTGTCATCTAAAACATACAAAAAAACAACGTAAGTTCTGTATTTCTGATATGCAAATATATAGACAGCGCCCTCTAGTGGATTTGTCATCTAAAACGTATAACAAAACACTGAAAGTAACGTATTTCTGATTCGCAAATAGGTAGACAGCGCCCTCTAGTGGATTTGTCATCTAAAGCGTACAACAAAACACCGTAAGTAACGCATTTCTGTTACGCAAATATATAGACAGCGCCCTCTAGTGGATTTGTCATCTAAAACGTACAACAAAACACTGAAAGTAACGTATTTCAGTTACGCAAATATATAGACAGCGCCCTCTAGTGGATTTGTCATCTAAAAACTACAACAAAACACCGTAAGTAACGCATTTCTGTTACGCAAATATATAGACAGCGCCCTCTAGTGGATTTGTCATCTAAAACATACAACAAAACACTGAAAGTAACGTATTTCTGATTTGCAAATATGTAGACAGCGCCCTCTAGAGGATTTGTCATCTAAAACGTACAACAAAACACCGTAAATTCTGTATTTCTGATTCGAAAATAGTTAGACAGCGCCCTCTAGTGGATTTGTCATCTAAAACGTAGAACAAAACACTGTAAATAATGTATTTCCAATTCGCAAATATGGCAACAGCGCCCTCTAGTGGATTTGCCATCTGATACGTACAACAAAACACCGTAAGTAACGCATTTCTGTTACGCAAATATATAGACAGCGCCCTCTAGTGAATTTGCCATCTGAAATGCATAACAAAACACTGAAAGTAACGTATTTCTGATTCGCAAATATGTAGACAGCGCCCTCTAGAGGATTTGTCATCTGAAACGTACAACAAAACACCGTAAGTAACGCAATTCTGTTATGCAAATATATAAACAGCGGCCTCTAGTGGATTTGTCATCTGAAACATGCAACAACACACCGTGAGTAATGTATTTCAGATAATACCTCACTACACCGTTAGCAGATTATTTAGCTTGTTTTAAGGGCAAAAAACACACTGAATTTTGCATATTATTCCTAAAACAAAACAATATTTTTTTATAATTTCTAGAAAATGCTTCTTGAATTCAGAGCTTTTAGATATTTTGATTAGAAACAAGATCAAAAACTCGATGTAAGGAAAGCATGTTGTGCAGTGTATTTAAATGTCTGGTCTGTGGTTCTGGTGTCTGGAGTCAGAGTGTGTTTCATAAGAGCATCAGAGTGCTGGAGGAAATAAGGCTAGTGAGATCTGGAGGTGAACTTTCAGTCTAATGGAGGAAGAGTATCTGTCCATCTCAGGCTCTCAGGGGAATGAAAGGCTTCTGTCGTCACTCTGCCTACAGAAATAGGTCCTGAAGTCCGCTAGCATGAGTACGCACACACACACACACACACACACACACACTCACACACACACACACACACACCTGCTGTAAAGCACTGGTCAATGGTGTTTTTTGGACTCACCCACACTGCTGATCTTCTGGGACAGCAGGTCTCTGAGCAGCGCGGTGATCACAGGATTGTGTCTGGAGTATAGTTCGTATCGATTAATCCCGATGTGGAAGCGCAGCCAGTTTGGGTAGGACTCGCTGTTGGCTTCTCCTGGAGGACTGAACTCCTCCTCCTCCACGTTACCCTCATTATGCCTGAACAGGAGAAATAATACAACATATAAGAATTCAGGATGTTAGTCACTGGACTGTGACTACTGAGGGGGATTTAAAGGGGCAGGTCACACAAAAATGTCAATTCTGACAACAGAGGTGCCGATCCAAATGCAGGGTTTATTAGCAGGACGTTCAGCAAGCAACGCTCAACACAGAAGCAAACAGATGTATACGGGCAGTCCAGATTCGTAGTAAAAATAACAGGCGAGAGTTCAGAAGGCAGGCAGCAGACAGGGATAAACAATGAAACAAACAAAACAAAGCAAAGGTCTAACATGGAAGGCATAGAAAGGAAAACATGTCGTAATGTTCACAAGCAGTATGACAAGACTCAGCAACAATGTATGTGTGTGTGTGCTGTCTTAATAGTCCCTTTGAGCAGCTCCCAGCAGTGTAAGTGTAATCAATCGTTATCTGAAACGTGTGTGTGTGCGGTGCATGACTGGATCTGTAGTCCATGTAACAGCGAGTTTGTAGTTCTTTAGCAATATTTGTTTTTACCAGCAATCTGCAAGGATTAGATTGCTGGTGATTGTGACAATTTAGTTTTATTTTATTTTTCCTTTTTATGTAACTGAAGGTGAGCGTGTCTGAACGTGAACAGCATTTTTGTGTAATAACAAAAAGGTTTATTTATTTATTTGTTCATTTATTTATTGATTGATTGATTAATTGATTTATTTATTAACTGAATTATATTTTTAACTGAATGTGAGCAGCAAGTTTGATTAACATTATTGTTATTATTATTATAAGAAATAATAATAATAATAATAATAACATCTTATAATAACATAATATATTTTTATAAATTAATATTATTTATTATTTATTTAACATTAATATTATTTATTTTATGTTAGTCACTGCATAACAGGTAAACACAAAGGGGAATTTATTTATTTATTTATTTATTTGTTTGTTTTTATTTATTTATTTATTTACTTAATTATATTTTAACTGAATGTGAGCAGCATGTTTATTTAATATTAATAAAAGTTATAATATTAATAATAATAATAATAATAATAATAATAATAATAATACAGTATTTTTATTAATTAATAATATTTATTATTTATTTAATGATGATATTATTTATTTTATGTAAGTCACTGCATAACTGGAAAACACGGAGGGGGACGTTATTAATCTATTTATTTATTTATTTATTTGTTTGTTTGTTTGTTTGTTTGTTTGTTTGTTTGTTTGTTTGTTTATTTATTTATTTATTTGTTTATTTATTTAGCTGAATGAATCTGCTGGATTGTTACTATGATGACAGGAAAATGACTGAATGCATCAGCTTTAGTTCCTTCCCCTGTGACCTCTGACCTCATAATAACACACACACACACACACACACACACACACACACACACACACACACACACACACACAGACACACACACACACACACACACACACACACACACACACACACACACACACAGTTCGGTCATAAAAAACACTGCATGCCACCATATTCAGGCAAGGTTAAAATGCTATGTTTAGCTAATTTAGGCATGCTTAAATGCCCAGTTCAGGCAAAAATGAACATTTCAGAGGTTAAAAAAATATTACGAATTGATTTTTCATGTTGAACACAAAATACTGGAAAAAAACAATCCTTTTGTAAAGCACAGGGAGTCTGATGTCGGACTTTTTAAAGCTGAACAGTAAAAACACATATATTTATGCTTTTTCCTTTTGAGATTATTTTGCTCACCCCAGTGGCCGATTATTTTGCTTGTTTTAAGTAAAAAAAATTTCCAAAAGTTGCCTAATGCGCTCACAAATTAAATAAAAAGACAAATTAAAAAGACAAATAACAGCATTCACCCATTTTATGTGAACAGTTAAAGTCAGAATTTTTCTCCTCACTTTAATTTTTATCTTCTTTTTTAAATATTTCCCAAATTATGTTTAATAGAGCACGAAAATGTTCACAGTGTGTCTGATAATATTTTATCTTCTGGAGAAAGTCTTATTTGTTTTATTTCGGCTAGAATAACAGCAGTTGTTAATTTTTTAAAAGCAATTTTAAGGTCAATATTATTAGCCCCTTTGAGCTATATTTTTTCCTGATAGTCTACAGAAAAACCATTATTATACAATGACTTGCCTAATTACCCTAATTACCCTAGTGAAGCCTTTAAATGTCACTTTAAGCTGAACACTAGTGTCTTGTAGAATATCTAGTCTAATATTATGTGCTGTCATCATGGCAAAGAGGAAATAAATCAGTTATTAGAGATGAGTTATTAAAACTATTATGATTAGACTTGTTGAAGAAATCTGCTCTCCGTTAAACAGAAAATGGGAAAAAAAAAATAAACAGGTGGCGAATAATTCTGACTTCAACTGTATATAAACACAAAAAAAGACCTGCTCAAAAGCGTCTCACAGCCACGCTTATAACCCTCACTGTGAGTCAGGATCAACTGGAAATTCTGAATCTGCAATATCACAAGTCTCCAACACATATGAGCTCTAGATATGTGTTTCCTCTTAATATTTTTAGCTTCATTCATTCATTTATTTATTAGTATTATTGGTATTTTTTATTATTATCATTTATTATTATGATTATTAATATTATTATTTTGATGTTATGTTATGTTCTTTGGATGTTGTGTAAGTTATGTTTTGCTTGTCTTCTGGTGTTGTTATTATGTGATTGTGATTAATTGTGGGACCCTCTTGAAAATGAGATGGTACATCTCAAGGGGTTTATCCCAATGAATAAATATCATCATTCTTGAGCTCCAACTGCAAAAACACAACAACAACAACAACAACAACAACAACAGCAACAGCAACAGCAACAGCAACAGCAACAACAACAGCAGCAACAACAACAACAAACAACAAACAACAACAACAACAGAAGAGGACTGGTTGCCTTTCATTTTTAAGTTGAATCAAATTAACATTCAAATTAAATAACACTAAACTGACTTAAAAAAGCTTGTAAACTCAACAAGTCAAGTTAGGCACATGATTAACCTAGATTTATATGTTTAAATTCACCTAGAAACATGTTATTTTTTTTACAGTGCACCCACAATACAAGACACTGTAGTAATGTACAGTAAATACTATAGTGTATTTGAACATACTCTAGTGAGTAGCAACTGTAGAATCACCACAATGGATCAATCACTACAGATCAATCACTATAGTTGTTGTGTTACCATAGCAACTGTAGAATCCCTGCAAAAGTTCAATCACTATATTTGTTGTGTTACCATAGCAACTGTAGGCCCACCACAACAGATCAATCATTATAGTTGTTGTGTTACCATAGCAACTGTAGAATCACCACACCAGATCAATCACTATAGTTGTTGTGTTACCATAGCAACTGTAGAATCACTACAACAGATTAATTACTCTAGTTGTTGTTTCCATAGCAACTGTAGAATCCCTACAAAAGATTAATTACTCTAGTTGTTATGTTTCCATAGCAACTGTAGAATCACCACAACAGATCAATTACTATAGTTGTTGTGTTTCCATAGCAACTGTAGAACCACTGCAACAGATCACTTGCTATAGTTGTCATGTTACTATAGCAACTGTAGAATCACTACAACAGATTAATTACTCTAGTTGTTATGTTTCCATAGCAACTGTAGAATCACTGCAACAGATTAATTACTTCAGTTGTTGTGTTTCCAAAGCAATTGTAGAACCACTATAACAGATAACTTGCTATAGTTGTCGTGTTACCATAGTAACTGCAGAATCACCACAACAGACCAGTTACTATAGTTGTCGTTACCATAGCAACTGTAGAATCACCACAACTGATCAATCACTATAGTTGTTGTGTTACCATAGCAACTGTAGAATCACCACGATAGATCAAATACTATAGCTGTTGTATTTCCATAGCAACTACAGAATCACCACAACAGACTCAATCATTGTAGTTATTTTATTACCATAGCAGCTATGGTATTACAACTTTTTAAATGCAAGTACTTTACTATAGTACGTTTTAAAAAGCAGCACAGTAGTTCCTATAAATGACTGTAGTATTGTTGATGTGGGCAGCGTGGTCATTATTTACTCAAAGTGAGATCACTGTGACCTCGGTGACGTGAGATTGTTTTTCGTTTTTGAAGTTCCTGTCGATCTCGTTTTCCCAGTTGCTTTGTAATTAATCCATGTTAACACTCCTTTCAGCCTCCTTACAAGCTCAAAACAAGCAAAGACATGTCCAGTGTTGTCCCAATAATCACCTTTGTTTATTAGGAAACAGATGAGTTCCACTTTATTTCACCTGTCTTTAATTACTAGTGCTTACATCCAAAATTAGCAGTTCTAGCAGCAGTTACTGTGTGTTCATGAGTATTGCAAAGCACGACAGAAGTGTGATGGGATTACACTGAGAAAAAAAATAGACTGTTTAGTGTGGTAAAATCCAATACATTTACAGTCATTATTTTCAAAATGCAATAATAAATGTCAAGGAATTTCCCCAAGTAAAATGTAAAACATTAAACATTTACATCTAATAAATAGAGTTCAGTGAATTCATTTACTCCATTCATTCATTCTCCGTCTGCTTAGTCCCTTATCTATCACGGGACATCACAGTGGGATGAACCGCCAACTATTCCAGCATATGTTTTATGGATGTTTAAGTGGATGACCTTCCAGCTGCAAACTAGTGCAGGGAAACACCCATACACACTCATTCACACGCACACACACACACACACACACACACACACACACACACACACACACACACACACACACACTCATACACTACGGCCAGTTTAGTTTATCAGTTCCCCTATAGTGCATGTGTTTGGACTGAAACACCCAGAGGAAACCCACACCAACACAGGGAGAACATGCAAACTCCACATAGAAACACCAACTGACCCAGCCGGGACCTTCTTGCTGTGAGGCCACAGTGCTCACCCCTGAGCCACCATGCTATTTATTGCAAATAATTTTAAGCAATTTTTATTCATAAGCTCTTGTCTTGCTTGGGATGCCCACAAAACCCTCACATCTGTTTATTATGAACGGCGAAAACACTGAAAGTGAGAAAAAAGAAATCGAATACATTTGACCTAATTTGATAAAGCATTAATTTGATAAAGTCTATTTGAGATAATCAGTGGGTTTTTACTCAACATTTACCCTAATGTAACCCTGCTGTTCCTACACCACCCAACCCGCTCCAAGCTGGGATCGCAAATATGGGAGTTGGTTCCTCTGTTCCTCTAACAAGGAGGCTAAAGATCATGGCCTCTAGCGGCTGTCACCAGAGCAGCTTTTCGTGCCCAGAGGAGTGAGGTTTACCAGCACAGCACTTCACTAGCTGCCCACTGTTACACTCCTAAATAAAGTCATTCATTTTACAGAATATTCACATGTTGCCTGTACTTAATGTACTGCATTTTACTCAAATTGTTGCTGCAAATGGATTTTGTCAAGTGAATCTTAAGAGTGATTGTTTTCATTTGTGTATCTTATATAAAGTACATGTCTGCGCATATACAGTTGAAGTCCGAATTATTAGCCCCCTTTTGATTTTTTATATATTAAAGGGCACCTATGGTAAAAAATCGACTTTTCAAGCTGTTTGGACAGATCTGTGTGTTGGTATAGTGTATAGACCGTCATACTGGGGTGATATGAACACACCCAGTCCTTTTTTTTCAATTTAACTACAAAAAAAAAGGGTCGGCCAATTGGAGCTGTTTTCAAATCGATCGCACCATTACATAGGTGTGCGATCCCCCCGCCCACCGAATTGATTGACAGCTGCGCGCAATTAACATGTTCCAGTAGTCGCGTGTATATGTCAACAAGACCAGACAGACATACGCAAAGCAACCGGGAATAAAAGGTCTGTTCTGTTCGCTAGGATCAGCAATCATCAACAAATGTGATTAAGAGTGAGTTTCACATGTTTAAAGTGTTTTAAAGCAGAGTATGTGTAATTAATTACAGCGTTTTACTTCAGCTTTACTTCATCAGCACAGTGTCAGAACAATTATAAAAGACGCTTCAATCCCGGTTTGTGGAAGTTAAATCAGGTTTATTTTGTACATTAGCATAACAGATATCCACACAGTACTTGAGGTTAGCCTTAACTAAGCTAAGCGCGCTCTGTCTGCCTGCCTGTGTGTGTGCGTGTGCGCGCGCGCGTTAACTTTGTAACGATATTGTGTGTGACTCATCAATGCAACTTCACAATACTGATTAGTAAAGGTTAGTTCTTACTGTAGTATCTCACAAACGCTACGTGAGACCTTCTTCCTTTAAGTCTGTCTGTTGTCTGACGCAGCTGAGGGAGGAGGCATGTAGTGGGCGAGAAAGTGGGCGGGAAAGAATCGCCTTAAAGGCGCAGTACGACAAAACCACCCCCTGCTGGAAATCAGTATAAAACAGCATCTTGTAAAAGGTGTAATGAAAAATCTGATGGGTATTTTGATCTGAAACTTTATATACACATTCTAGAGACGCAAAAGACTTATATTAAATCTGAAAAAAGGCGTAACCTAGGTGACCTTTAAATTAAATTAAATTAAATTAAATTAAATTAAATTAAATTAAATTAAATTAAATATCTCCCAAATGATGTTTAACAGAGCAAGGAAATGTTCACAGTATGTCTGATAATATTTTTTCTTCTGGAGAAAGTCTTATTTGTTTTATTTCTGCAAGAATAAAAACAGTTTTGAATTTTTTTAAAGCCATTTTTGGGACAAAATTATTAGCCCCTTTAAGTTGTTTTTTTTCTGATAGTCTACAGAACAAACCATCATTATACAGTAACTTGCCTAATTACCATAACCTGCCTAGTTACCCTAATTAACCTAGTTAGGCCTTTAAATGTCACTTTAAGCTGAATAGAAGTGTCTTGAAAAATATCAACTAAAATATTTACTGTCATCATGACAAAGAGAAAATAAATCAGTTATTAGAGATGAGTTATTAACACTATTATGCTTAGAAATGTGCTGAAACATTCTTCCCTCCATTAAACAGAAATTGGGGAAAAAAATAAACAGGGGCGCTAATAATTCTGACTTCAACTGTATATTTATATATACACACACAGAATACATGTAGCTCTACATGTAAATACAAACTTTTATCTTGGATGCGAAAAATAATTAAAATGGCATACAGATATATACGTGAATATATTTCTTTTGTATTTTATATACAGTACATGTGTGTTCACACATTCATAAATATGCACGTAAATACATGTATCATGTAAATACAAACGTTCGCGATTAATCATTTGTCAGCACTACTTACTATGTTTATTTCATTTGTTTATTTGGCAGGGACAGTGTTCATCAATTAGCACGCCTGTACATGCTATTAACACTAAGTTATGCCTTATTACATGGCATTAGCCTAAACCAAACTCTTCTACAAAACACCTAACCCAGGGGTAAGAATATTCAATATTCTACATTAGTTTGATTTCATAAAGTGTAAACCAATGACTATCTGTTAAGAGAAAGATCAGATGTAAAGCATCTATCTATCTATCTATCTATCTATCTATCTATCTATCTATCTATCTATCTATCTATCTATCTATCTATCTATCTATCTATCTATCTATCATGTGTATATTTTTGTGCTTCATATAGTGCGTTTCTGTGCATATTTAAGCAAAATGCACAGTGTATAAACTTTAATCTTGCATGTGATTGTTTGACAGCACATAAATAATTCATATTAAATTATGTCTTATTATATAAAATGATCCTAAACCAAACCAACCTTCCACAAAAACACCCAACCCTATATTTTAGGAATAATGTACTTTACATTCAATTAGGTGTAAATCAATGCTAAGAGAAAGATCAGATTTAAAGTGGCACTTGCCATTCTTGTTGTCCGGCAGCTTTGGGGTACAGTCTGATCTCCGCATTGAGGTTGAAAAGGGTGTCCTCTTCGGTTAGATCCGGCAGGACGGTCCGGTAGAGCGGATGTTCAAACAGCGACTGCAGCACGGAGGAGACCCGCACATCAGTGCGCCTCTGCCGGCTGTCCGCCTCCCGCATCAGCCCCCTCTTCCCGGAGCCCTGCTTCTCAGAGCCGGCTCTCTCTGTCACCTTTTCCCGCGACTGCGACGTCAAATTAGAGTTGGGCTCATTGCTGAAATCCTGCAGTAATCTCAGAGAGTGCTTGTTAGGCCAGCCGGGATCGGCGGCTCTGGCTCGCTGTTTACCCCAGGATCGAGGCTCCTCGCCCGGCGTGTGAGCGCAGGAGCAGCCGCTGCCCCCTCCAGCGCTGGAGCTCGAGCCCGCCGCGCGCTTCTCCAGCTTGGGTAACAGGTCTATCATGATGTGCATGGTGCAGGCGATGAGGAACACCGTTAAAATCAGCACGCGGAATTTACGAAAGAGTATCATTATGGTTTATTTATTATATTTAGGCTAAATAGAGCACAATATGATGATGATGATGATGAGGAAAGATATTCAAGAGCGCATCTGTCCAGCTACTGTAATCCTCTTTAAGATAGGAGATCCATGTTCGGAAAAGGTCTTCCTTTGCATCCTGCTGTGTCCAGATGCGTATCAATTTGGTATTCTTGGCATAGTTGATTTCTCCCCCTTTTTTTAAATCAGATGCCCTGTCGCATCCTTACAGGTGCATAATAAAAGCGAAAATGTCCTGGTATGTAATGCAAAACACACACATACACATTAAAAAAAAACCCAGATCGAGTCGTCAAGAGCCGCGGATCAGCAGTCCCATGTGCGGATGTGTCCGGCAGCATGTACAGATAAAGTGCATTAGTTCTTGATGAGGAGCAGCCAGTGACAGGTGTAGATGTATCAGTGCACTGTGTGTTAAATATTGGGATCCTGCCTCTTCTCGTCACAGCGCTCAGATTGGCTGAGTGTGTGTGTGTGAGTGTGTGTGTGAGACTCAAGGAAGAGCGA